ACTTGTGGCCTGAGGCTTTCCACTTCAGAGTGTTCGGCCGACTGTGGTCGGATTACATCATAGACTTTTCTAGATCTACTATCTATCTTACTCATAGAGGCACCATTTTGAGCATGGTAATAGTTGATTGGGTTTTAGAACTACTTTGGCTTGTAAGTTTATGAGTAATCGTCGACCCTCGGACTCTGTCTAGCAGACTGACTTGTAAACACAAGATCGGTGATCCATTTGTCTCGCATCTAACATGTGACTCCATCGTCAATCATACGCTCGGATCATTGGTGCAATATTGCCCCTAGCCAAGGTACATACCCCACAATCTGCAACAACACCATGAATGCAATAGTACAGCCTGCATCGGGGAATTCATCGATACTTTCCTCTGCGTCTACTCTGTACACTCTACGATCATGTACTCAGAGTAAACAGGGCAGATTCGAAGCTTCGTGCGTAATGAGTCACAATGAGATTGATGGGCTGGCGGTCGTCAACCCCGGAATATTGTCAAATTGCTTACGATTTCCCCTAGACTAGGTAGTCGGTCCCATGGTAGATCTGGACAACCTTGTGGATGGCTATGAGGATAAACCGATGGACTATGAAGGTACTCAAAACAATTTACGTCCTCAAACGACAATGTCTATTGTCATAGCTGAACCAAGGGTACAATAGCTGAGTCAGGACGGTCTAGACATCAATGCTCATCGATTTCCAAAACAATTGGTCCAGTATGTGACTGGAATTGGAACTGCCACGACAACAAACACGCAAGTCGTTGATGCGCAGATATGAACAGCTGCTCTGGACTCTGTGGACTAACCACAAATTGATAACACGAAGAGAACCCTTAGCATATGACTCCTGATGATGTGCTTTCCAGCAGGCCGATTATCCGTCCACCAGGCCCGAATGGACCGACTCCAAGCCAAAGCGCAAGCGCCTGACCGGGGGGACTTTTTTAGCACGGAAAACAATTACTGTTTAGTGTTTACTGGTGAAGGTCAGCTGCCGTCATCGAACCATCACGTGGCGTCATTCAGTGCTCTGGCGGCCCGTTGACTCTTGAGTTGAGTCTTTGTACCAAAGTCCAAATGTCCAGAGGTAAAGGAGTAAGGTACGTAGTTTGGAGGCGGTCTGGCGTAAGGTTTTCTCTTACCAACAGTGACCGGCGCCAATATACTGGATTACAATACAATACACCTTCGACAAGGCGTGACGCTAGTTGGAGATCCTCTGGGACTGCGTACTCAAGAGGGGCAGCATCCAGAGACGGAGCGAAGCCGCTAGAGGAATCTACCAGAACTAGACCGAGTTAAGATTAGCGCCTAGAAACAAAAAAGAAAAAGTTTTTACAGAATTTTTCCTTTCGCATGGGAACGGCTCGGTGAGGTTCCACTCTTTTCCAGTTCTAGAAATCAAAGACCAAACGATGGCGAGGTTTTGTTTGGACTCAGGACTCGGGACATCACAGTTGTCACTTCTCCTTGTGACTTCCTTTCTAGGCGAAGTATCTAATACCTTAGACCATCAACTGAGCCTACTGAGATGCTCTGCCTGACTCCCTGCAAGGCTGTCCGCGGAGGTCCAAATCAAATTTCCCCGCACTGCAGGCAATTCAAGATTTTGCGGGGATTGCATCATCTGGCTTGTCTTTGCTTTTCTCGGCCTCTTACTAAGGGATAGATACTAACCCCATCATCCTGTCAACATCTTTCTCCATATTGTCTGGTGCGTTGAGATTTGAACCGATTCTCAGGTGCTTCAGAGTATGAATTGAAGATATCAAAGTTCATCACAACCTTGGTCTAGACAACCTAACTGTCAAGAGACAAGACCTGCTCTGTGCGCTGTCGGTCTGCAGGGAAAATCCTCCCCTGACGAATGGTCTTGCATCGCCGCCATACCAATTACCTAACAGATTCCTCTTCACCATCCCCATTGGAAGTCATCCTCTCAATGTGATCAGGGTTTATGACTCAAATTTAAAGTCTGCATTCTGGCTAAATATTTGCTGAAGCCTGACTGTCGTCCCGAGTTGCCAAAACTTTGAAGTCGGCTCAGGATTTTCATTCCGAGTGATACCATCAAACCCGACTCGATCATGCCATCTCGTCGGATTGCTCACGGCAATGTGATTCATGAGCTCCGGGTCAATCTACACTACCGTTATTGATGAAGGTGCCGATTCTCGCCATCCTGGCGCGTTTTTTAACAGATATAGCGAAAGTCCGATGGAGATATTATCCATCTGGAGGGATATATGGAGTCCCGTCCGGCGTAGGAGTTGCCTTTTCCGGAAGTCGAGAGTAATGCCATATTAGTTGCCTATTCCGGTACCATCAAATCACAATCCCTATAGGAGACACGCCTTCAATGGCTTCTGTATCATTCAAATCACATTCAAAATCAGACCCGTCGCAGACGATCGGATATATCAGCTTTATTCCAAGTCCACATTCTCTCTTATACCAATTTACTACTGATCCTACATTGGACAATCTCTTTGCAGTTTGCACCTTTCCGCGGGAAACTCCGACAATAATTCTTGAGGGTGTTGAACCGGATCCTGCCCGGATTTCGCTTGCTGGATGGATTGCACCTTAACCGGGTGGATTCCGCCTCTCACCCGGTTGAAGCTGGTTCCTCGGAAATTTTCCATCGCGCATCACTAGATCAAATTGGACCTTCTGATTGGTCTTTGTCCACAATTGCCTCAAATTTAGTTCGTTTTCTGCTGATTTTTCGCACCAAAATCTTCTCCGTAAATCACTCAATCCATCAGGCGCATCTGGACCGTGGTTAGACTGCGGACCGTCTTGCTGGCCCTGAATTGGAACCAACAATTTCCCTCTTCGGGTCAATTGGCGGAGGACGCCGATGGCTTCTCAAAAGACTCATGTCGGGATGTGATAGAGTTATTGGTTACCTGATGGATGGCTAAAATACGTAAGATCATGCCATTATCTGAAGTTATAGACAGTGATCAGAGAATTGTCTAATATCGTGTCATTTCTGCAATTGTCTTCCTCTTGGCAATATTGATAGTGGGGGATGAGGTCTTTATGCACTCGAGTCACGCTTTTTAGGCTATACAAGTGGGTAGAAATCGGCGAACTCAACCTGATGTCCTATTCGATGATTGTAGGTCTGCGTTCAGTCTTATCTCGTGGTCATCATGGAAGCCCTGCATCTAAATATTTAAAAACCAGTGTCCTCCATCTGTGATACCCTGCTAGAACATTCTGCGCTATCAGGAATGGAAAAGCACTCGATGCGCAGTTAACATGGACAGTAAAGCTAGAATACACTGCAACGCACTCACCTTGCATCAAGCAAAGTAGAAGAACTAAAGGAGTCAAGAGTCCAAGGCCTTGTAATCACGTGACTATCGCGAGATCGCCAGGGGACGAATCTGGAGTTACACCAGGAGCCAGATCGCCTCCCCTTTTCATTTGTGCCACCGTGTCTATTTGCAATTGGGCTGTCGACTCTCGCCCCTGTGGAACATCAGCTCGAGTCATCGAGTTCAGGTGGTTCTTTGCTGATGATAGCAGACAGACAATGAGAAGCCGAGACTGACCGGTGGTGTTGATGATGCGCAATCCCCACCCGCAGTCTGCAACCGCCTAAGCCGACACTGACAGCTTTGCATAACATCAATTGAACCTCAGGTTGCGGGGAAAGTCAAGTGAATATCTGCAGAGATTCATTCACCTCAAATACTGCTACCATGTTCACCTCGTCGCTGGTGACATGGGGCCTGACGCTCTCCGCCATCTTCCTCTTCTGGACCCTCTCCTCAACCAGCTCGTCTCCCTTTGCGCGCAACTTCCCCCGTCTCTACAACAAACGAATATGCCTGCTAATCGCCCACCCGGACGACGAGGCCATGTTCTTCTCTCCCACGGTGCTGGCACTGGCCAAACCGGAGCTGGGGAACCATCTGAAAATCCTCTGTCTGAGCAGCGGTACGCCCCGCCCCATTCTATCCATACCAAACCCCCCCGGCCGCGCCAAACCCTAACCCAAAATTCCTCAGGAGACGCCGACGGCCTCGGCCACATCCGCAAAAAGGAGCTCCAGCAAAGCGCCAAACACCTCGGCCTCCGCGACGCGTCCGACGTCTTCATCGTCGACGACCCCGCCCGGTTTCCAGATAGCATGACAGCCACCTGGTCCGAGAGCGACGTCGCCTCATTGCTCGCGTCCGCCTTCGCCCCCGAGCTCGCCTCGCAGCCGCAGTCGCAGTCGTCCGCAGCCAGGAAACGAGTTGCGGGGACCGGCGCCAGCGCCCCGACCGCTACCATCGATGTCCTCCTCACCTTCGACAAACACGGTGTGAGCAACCACCCCAACCACCGCTCGCTGTACCACGGCGCCGTGCATTTCCTCCGTGCCCTGATGAAGGATAAGGCCGGGTATACGTGCCCCGTGACGCTGTACACGCTTACCACGACGAATATCCTGCGGAAGTACATTGGGGTGCTGGATGCGCCGTGGACGATGGCGAGCGGCGCGCTGGGGTCGATCTTTGCCGGTGCGGCGAAGGGTGGGAGGGATGATGCGCCGGGTAAACTGCTTTTCATCAGTTCTGTGGATGAGTATGTCCGCGCGCAGGCGGCTATGGTCAAGGCGCACAAGAGTCAGATGGTCTGGTTTCGGTATGGGTGGATTACGCTGGGGAGGTATATGGTTGTTAATGATTTGAGGAGGGTGAGGGTATGAATGTGTAATATCTCCGTTGTAAAGGGCGGATCTAAACTATTGTATTTACTTGTACATTTGTACAAATGAATGAGATGAACATCAGAACATCAACTGACAAGAGGATGAAATCGATGATGACATGAGAAGTGGTATCTTTGATATCAAGCGGAACATGGCATAAATATGCTCGGAATGGGGTATCTGACAAGCATCGGCAGCTAAAGAAGACAAAAAAAAAAGGTTCAGGTCAAAGAGGATTGTAGAAGTAAGGCGTCGTTAACATGAGAGGTCACTCAAGCAACAATGAGATGACCAGTTGTGGGATCAAAGACATCCTCGCCGTCCGCTGTCCACCCAACCGGTCTCTGCGAGGGCGCCGCTTCCGCAGCACGAGGCAAAGCTCCAGACCGTTCGTCCACCGCGTCGGCTTCAACTGCGTCTTCTGCGACAGGTCTCCGTCTCACTGTGTTGACGACCCGTTCCTCCACTCCCCAGAACAACCGCCGAAGAGCGGGGATTTCCATAGCCCGCAATTCAGCAGGGTAGCACGCCCAGAAGAAGTCGTCGTCGAGTTCCCGGGCGTCTTCGTCGAGGACCAGGCCGTTATCGACAGTCGGCCGGCGGACCGGCACCCTCATGTGTGTGTTCACGAGGCGCTCACCCCAGTGAGTTTCTCCGTGGAATTGGACTTCCGCCTCTCTAATATGGAGGAATAACGCGTCGGGTAGGAAGTCCTGCCACTCTTCGATCACGCGGGGAAGAAGATGACGCTCCCAGACAGGGTTGTCGCGGCCGACCCAGCGAGGGTGGAGGAGGAGCCATCTCGCGAGGCGTTCCATGATGATGGTCTGCTGGGCAGTGCGCATGCGCAGCACGTCGTATGTATGTACTGCCTCGGTGAATGCTCGGGACTGGAGCAGTGTGTGGTCGACCGACGGCTCGCGGCGTTCGGATGCTGTCGCCTTCGATGGAGGCGGACCCAGGTAGTTTTCGACGATCGCTCGGGCAGTTCGGCGTTTGCGTCGGGTCTCTTCGAGAATCGCGTATGCTGACTGCATGTATTGTTTGAAATCTGGTAGCTTGACCTGGTCCCACGCTGTCTTGGCCAGCATTTGGTACATCTCCATCGTGGGCTGGACGCGGAAAGGCTCCGACATCATGGTTTCGACCATGGTGCTCAGGAACTCATATGGAACTTTCCCCTTTTCATTGCGCTCGGCATCCTCACCCCAACGGGGGCGAGAGAGAACGAACGACCGCTCGAGCAGCTCTAGCCAGACCTCTTCTGGGACCGGAATGTCGTAAGAGCTGGATATGAAGTCGATTGCCCGCAGGGCTCCGGAAATGTCGTTGTTAGTGCCAAAGGCGTGTGCGATGGCGAACAAGAGGCGACTACTCGGATACAGAGGTGATGAACGATCGTATTCCATGGGGCGAGGTAGAGTCGATGGGTCTCCTTGCGCCGCCAGGGCGTCGATGTCGACGCTCCAAACCGTCTTCAACACGTGCTTCATTGCGAACATCTTTCCCACTCTGCTAGACGCCAGAATCACATTCACGAAAGTAGCCTCGTCGCCCGATGTCCCTTCTTCTGTCATCGCGCCGAAGATCTCCATGACCTCCTTGCGGACACTGCGGCCGGCAGTCCCATAGCCTTCCCATCCCGGGCCTGGGTCGACGAAGCGTCGCTTACGATAAGCGAACGGCGTCATTCGCAGACGATACTTCTGCCGACCAGTGTAGGCTCTATCCCAGACCTTGGCTTCCATGTAGTGATTGAAGCAATGCACATCGGGGATAACATCGTCCTCATTCATGGCATGCCATACGTGGTCCGCCATCAGCCCATCTCCGATTGACCGCGCACAGTCCAGAAGATGGGTGTACTCTGCCAGTCCAAGCGTGTGACCCGCCGACCGTCTGATCGAGACGATCGAGGCAAGATTGCAGGCGAACTCATCGAAGATCGACTCCAACGGCCGGTACGCTCTGACCTCTACGACATATGGATGCAACGAACGGTAAATTGCTCGGAACGGATCAACAAAGTAGGCAGGAGACAGCAAGCGAAAGACTTCTACAAAGGTGCTCTCAGGTAACGATCCAACGACCACTTCAAACTGGGGATCGAGTAATGCGTTCATGACCAGGTCCGGTTGTCCATCTCGGACAATCGAGAAGAATGAATTTTTGAGCGCATTGAAACTCTCGACGTGCTCTTTTGGCACTGTCCTCTCATCACCTTGTAACACGCTGACTGTGCTCAGCGTAGATCTGATTGCATGAAACTGAGAGTATTGATGTCCATTATCCCGCCGATGACTTTGACTCCTCTGATGATGATGATGATCATGATACTGCTCTAAATGTTCTGGATACTCAGGATCGACGGAGGACAGTGACCGTGTCTGGAAAAGCGTGGGCCTGGGAGCGGAGCCCGTCAGTCGGGAGGACCCATAAGAGCGTCTGTAGTGGCCGATAACATATCGAAGCATGAAGGAGCAGACCACGTGAGAGGGTATAGTTCGGTGATATCAAGGCGCTTTCATGGGGGCGGATTTTGAAGCAATTTGTTCTGATGAAATTTGAGGTTTCTAGTCAAGATGAGAGAGTGAAAGACAGGAATCTCAGAAAGGGACACTCTCAAAGTCGCGACGTACGCAGGGCCTTGTGTACAACGTGAGGGGAAATCACGGGGTAATCTTCTGGTTGGCCGCTGCAGTCTTGGCGCTAAATCCCCTGCAAGCGTCTGCTGTCTGTGCCGCTGATTTTACTCTTGGGCACTTTGTATTAGATTTAGATAGATACTCCGTCCTGTCGTCCACAACCAGCCTCTTTGCGGTGGTAGCTTTTATCAGTCTCACCTAGTTGTCTCGACATGGCCGACACGGAGGTTACTGGCGCTGGATCTGTCTCCGAACCCTTGGATCTGGTCCGCCTCTCGCTCGATGAGATCGTCTTTGTGAAGCTCCGCGGCGATCGCGAGCTCAAGGGTCGTCTACACGTGAGTTGATCTGAGTGTCGGTCGCGTTTTTTGTGCAATGCTGAATCTGACATGGTATTCTTGCAGGCATACGATAGCCACTGCAATCTTGTGCTGGGTGATGTCGAAGAGACCATCTACGTGGTGGAGGAGGATGAGAACGAAGAGGAGACCATCCGAGTACGACTACCTATCAAATGGCCTACAGGCTTGCGATCGCGTTTAGCCAACGATGGACGATGAGCTAACATGTCGGTCGCCGGATACAGACGATAAAGAAGCAAGAGGAGATGCTTTTTGTACGAGGTGAGCTCGGAATAAAACCATGAATCTCGTTATCCGATCACCATGCTGATCAAGAAATGATCTACTACAGGCGACTCGGTCGTATTGATCTCTCCACAGGCGTGATATTGCGATAAATCAGATAGGAGGTTTAGGACGACACGCAGTTCACCTGATAAAATATACAGCGGTATAGGGCAATGTAGGTCCCTGCTGCTTTATCCTGGGTTGCGGCTACAGACACGAAACCAGACGATGGCCATTAGGTATCTCTTCGATATCCTCTGCGAACGAACAGAACAATTGCACCGTCCACCACCGAATGGAAAGCCGGAAATATAATGGCACAGGATGTACAGGGACTTATGTCATAGAACCTTAACGAAGAGCCTCATGAAACTAGCGGTCACTTTATCGCTTGAATCTCTGGAAATAATTTCGACCAACCAATAATTTGGCTAGATGAATCAATTAGAAAATATGCCTTACTATGACACAGCCCTTCTCGTGGACTGGTACTGCGCCGTGACTCAAGCGAAGGACTCCTCGTGGTCCCCGAGGCGGCGATGACTCGCTATCGATAAAGCTTCCCTGGTTCCCCCGACTGAGCACTTCTCTCCAACTGCCTGACTCAACCCATCGCTGTCTTGTTGCCTGACACCTCTCTGCTCCTATATATGATTGATTGATTGCTTGCTTCTGATCTTGGTTACGTCCTGGTGAATTCCTCACACGCTGCCTGTCTCGAACATTCATAGTGGAATTATGATAATACGAATACGTGTCTGAATGCGCCACAGGCGACTTCATCTCTTATCCGATTGAACAAGTACAGCTTTCAGAATTCTCTATTAGATCTTCATTTACTATTTGCTCTGCGCTTTGATCTTTCCATTCACTCGAATCCGGCCATGCCTCAAGGTCCCAAACTCTCTCTCGAGGAGCGGCGAAGAGGCGAGATAGTATGATACCCAACCTTCTCACCTAGCGACAAAACTCGTGGAATTCCTGCTAACCGTCCACCGTCAAGGCCCTAAGCGAATTCGCAGAATATGCAGAGAAGCAGCAGTCGCATCGCTCGGCCCAGGTGGCTCCCAGCGATAGCGGCTACTCGACCGCGAGTGTAGCCCGAGCCACCGAGGACCACGCGGAGCTGGATATCCTTGACCAACTGACACTATCCGATACACCGAAGACGGCCAAGTTGAAAGACCTGCTGCTCGGTACGGGTGACGAAACAGAAGGTAGTCTGCAGCTGCTGGGCAGTATCCTGCAGGCCCGGATTGACGAGGGCCATGGGGAGACCATCTTCGACTTGGGGCTCGAGGACGGCGGCGACTCCATGGGCTTTGACCTTGGGCAGTGGAATACGGCCCTGCAGCGTCTGCGAGAGGCGGCGGAGACCCTCCCGGCGCATTGTCGAATCCTACTTACCTACAATGTGGGAGGCCCGGAGGAGTCGAAAACCAAGAATGACCGGATCAAGGGTGCTTGGGGCAAGATCCTGATCCGCCAGCCTGCGGATACTGTGGAGGAGATGGCTGAGATTCGAATTGCGGTTGTTGGGAATGTTGACGCCGGGAAGAGTACCATGCTCGGAGTCCTCGTGAAGGGAAATCTCGATGACGGTCGAGGCAGAGCGCGAGTCAATCTCTTTCGTCATAAGCATGAGGTGGAGAGCGGTCGGACCAGCTCCGTCGGGCTGGAGATCATGGGCTTCGATAGCCACGGCGAGATTGTCGGCAGCTCGCAGGGTCGCAAACTTTCTTGGGAAGAGATAGGGAAGCGATCTGCGAAGGTGATCTCTTTCTCCGATCTCGCCGGTCATGAGCGCTACTTGAGAACTACTGTCTTTGGCATGTTGAGCAGCAGCCCCAACTACTGTCTACTGATGGTTGCGGCCAACAACGGTCTCATTGGTATGAGCAAAGAGCATCTGGGTATTGCCCTGGCTCTGAATGTGCCAGTCATGGTGATCATCACCAAGATTGATATCTGCCCTCCTCAGATTCTGCAGGAGACCGTCTCTCAGCTGACCAAGATTCTCAAGTCTCCTGGCGCTCGGAAGATACCCATATTTGTGAAGGATATGGAGGAGACCATCAACACCGCGACTCAATTCGTCAGTCAGCGCATTTGCCCCATTTTCCAAGTGTCCAATGTCACCGGTGAGAATCTGGAACTAGTACGGACATTCCTGAACATCCTTCCTCATCGGGGCCAATATAACGCCGAAGCGCCATTCGAATTCCTGATTAATGATACGTTCTCTGTTCCTCATGTCGGAACCGTGGTGTCTGGAGTGGCCAAGTCCGGAGTGATCCATGCTGGCGATTCCGTGCTCGTGGGCCCTGATTCTCTCGGCCAGTTCACCACGACTACAATCAAGTCGATTGAACGCAAGCGGATCCAGGTGAATGCTTGCTTTGCGGGACAGTCTGGCTCGTTTGCTCTCAAGCGTGTTCGCAGAAAAGAAGTCCGTAAGGGAATGGTGGTTCTCAAGAAATTGGAACAGCCTCCCAAGGTCTACCGAGAATTTGTTGCTGAGGGTATGTTCCATTGCCCGGCTGTCCAGTATGATTTCTCCTGCTGACTTCGAGAAAAGTTCTCATTCTTTCCCACGCTACAACAATCAAACCGAGGTATCAAGCAATGCTACACGTCGGCGCAGTGAGTCAGACTTGCTCGGTCATCGACATTGACCGCCCCTTCATTCGAACCGGTGATCGGGCTCTTGTTGCCTTTCGATTCATCCAACGTCCTGAGTTCTTGGCCCCTGGCGATCGAGTCTTGTTCCGGGAGGGTAAAACCAAGGGCTTAGGGATCGTCAAGAGTGTCGGATACGACCCGGATCATCCTCTTAACCCTGAAGCTAAGACCAAGTGATTCGTCATTGGTTTGAGATACGTTGAAACTTGGTTCTCTCTCATTATTATTGTTATCGATCAGTTTTCCCAGTTTATGGTGTTTCGGTTTTATTCTCGCACCCTGCAATCAGCCGTACTCTTTGCTTGGGCCTACTAGCTACATGTCGTTTTCCTTGTGGATCACACATGGGAAAAGGTGCTCACTCAGGATAGGCCGCTGGGTCGAATTTATTGGATTGTCGTCATAAGTTTTACTTCCATGTTTACCCCGGGATGCTTATCCTATAAGATCGGCGTTGAATGCAGGCATCAATACAGCTATTATTAGACCCCATGCATCGAAGATTAGAGCGACACCCATAGGCCTATCATTATATCATACTGTTATTAGCCCTCCTCCCTCTGGTACTTCCTTGCTCGTTTGTCCTGTTGGACTGCTGCTGTTGTGGAGGGACTGTCACGTGACTGTGACGTCAAGCGTCCTGGCTACCAGAGTGCTATGATGCCATTGCACCAGCTGATCGTCGACGTTTCTCTGGCAGTCTGCTGCAAAGAATCAATGGATGGATAATAAATATTAATTACAGCAAGACGGAGATGACAGCCCTATCCCTCGCTAATCCCTGTGCCTTGCAACAGCCACCAACTCCACTGACGTAGACCGTCTTGCCTCCCAAACTGTGAACATGGTTATTGCTCTATTAAAGACATCCACCGACTGATACTGGATCAACTTCTATGATTAAGCATCTACCACTCTTACACTCAGTCTTGGCATTGCTTGAGAGATAACCTAAAGGCTTTCAGCACTACGACATACTTGGCCACTTGTTGAGGTTCTTCGACCTCGTCATTGAAAGATAGACTGCTGGTACATCGTCCTATCGTCCCAACGGTCGAAGATGGACTCTGTACAGAAGGCCGTATGTGATGCCACGGCCGGCTTGCGAAGCTTCGCTTTCGGTCAATCGCAGAACACAGAATCTACTGCGCAACATGGCGAGGAGCCTGTCTCCGGCGTGCAGGGTCGAGGAACAGTAACTGATCCATACGACGCTGGAAACCGAGATGGTGAGTTTTGAGTACTTTCATGACGACATGTTGTCGTCCGGGTGCCGCCCCGAGTGGCATTGTATGCTATGGTATGAGACACAGCGGCTAAACAGTCTGCACGCAGAACAACCAGGTGCCCCTCAAACTCAAGACAACACCGCGGTCATCCCCGAGCCACTCGAATCGATTACCCCCATTGAAATCAAGCCAACGGACGTCAGTTCCGCCAACAGCACCTCGGACCAGGGAGCCGGAGCCGGAGCCGGGACTGCCACCGCTACCGCTACCTCTGTAGCTCCGCAGTCATCCCCTGCACCTGTACAGGAAAAGTCGCAATCCACAACCGCCAGCAACACCCCTCCCCCCAACACCAACCTCGAACCCGGACCCGGCAACCCAGCCGTGGACGAACCCTCGCCCGCACAAGAGCAGTCGAATCCCACCGCGAGCACGGCCGACACCACCACCAGCAGCAGCACAAGCAGCACGAGCAGCAACATCTCACCCACCCACTCTGAACCCGAGAAACCTGCCCCTGAACAACGAACCCAGACCATGGCCGGCAGCGAGAGCGGCTCGTCGCAGAAAGAGGACGGCGGCTCACCTGGCGGGGTGGAACGCGCCCCGCCTACCACTCAGCAGCAGGTGAGCGTTGAGGCGCTCAAAGGGCCGCAGGGTCCTGCGCCTAGGGATGCGTATGAATTTGAGAAGGAGATGGATGGGCAACCGTCGAACACGAAGACTGGTTAGTAGTTGCCATTCATATGTCTGTTGCATGCGTGAAGTGTGGACGGTGGCTAACGGGTTCATAGATCAAGATACTGGTGACAAGGGCGATACGGGGAACAGCCACCATCATAAGATGGGACATATGAAGGAGCGGCTGGGGAAGGTGTTCAAGCATGGCAATCATTGACATCGGGAGACTGAGTAGTTGAAGGCTTGGTTGGCTTTGATGTGATGAGTAGCCCTTTGGCTTAATGTATCGTACGGGAGATCGTCGTCCTCTGCTATTTGAATGTCATTTATGTGGAAATGTTGCTCGCAGTGAGCCTTCGTAACAATTCTCGAAACGAAAAACATCAAGTGGTATATAGTAGCTCCATGTACCTTGCCACGGTATCCAGCACTCGCCTACTCAAACAACAGCTTCAACTCCTCGATCCTCTCCTTCCTCTTCTCGTCCTCCGACCCGTCGCCGCCAACCCGCAAGCCCAACGATCCCGCAATATTCATCTTCCGCTCCTGCACCTGTAACATCCGCCCCTCGATCGAGTCCTTGACGATAAACCGCGTCACAGCCACGTCACGCAGCTGTCCCATCCGATGTACGCGATCAATCGCTTGAGCCTCGATCGCAAAGCTCCACCACGGATCCATCATGAAGACGTTACTGGCAGCTGTGAGATTGAGGCCGACACCACCGGCGCGCAAGCTGATCAGGAGCACGGTGGGACTCTTGGCTGACGACTGGGCGTTCTTGGATGAGGTTTTCACCCGAGGCATGTCGGACCCTTCGTCCTCGTCGATTTCCTCCTGGTCGAAGGTCTCTGTTGTATTGAATTGCGCGAGGACCTCGGCCCGGGCCTTTTGCGGCATTGTCCCGTCTAGGCGGACGTGTGAGATGCCGGCTTTGGTGAGTTGCGGGCCGATCAGGTCGAGGAAGCTGGTGAATTGGGAAAAGACTACTGATTTTGTGTTTGACGGGACGCGGTTGAGGTGGTTGAGCAGGGCGTGGATCTTCGCGGAGGTGTGAGCGGACGGTGAGAGAGGGTTGATGCGTCGGAGGGAGATCCGGGGCGCTGGCTGCGGACTGGAAGCAGGGGTGCTGCTGTAGAGATCGGTCTCCGTGGGGGTCGAACTGGGCGATTGGTGACGGATCACTTCGAAGATGTCTCGTGAGGTAACTGGTGCTCGACACGAAAAGCACCGAGGCGGCACGCCCTTGTCTGTTTGGTGGCGTATGTAGTCCTCCAAGCATTTCTTACATGCACTGTGCCAACAGGCTGTGACAGCGGGATCGATCATGGGTTCTTCCGAGCAAATGGGACATTCTCCGCTGGATTCGGTTTGGATCTGCCTCAGGGCATGGGTGGTGAATTTGGCGCCCGGGTCCTGTGCCTCGTTTGAATCCGCGTTTTCAATGCTGGCTGAGAAGCGGTCTATAAGCTCTTGCAGATCCATGTCGTCTTTCAGCTCATTAGCTGCATCTGCTGCTGCCGCTGCATCTTCCTCATCTGCTATAATGGTCTTGTTGCGCGTAAGGATAGGATGGCAGCAAGTCTGTCGGAGACGGAGGATCTGGGCAAAGATTGTCGAGAATGACTTCAAGAGCGTACCGGCTTCGACGTTGTCGTTGAAAGTGCGTTTGGCCCTGGTGAAAATATAGTCGTAAATTTCGCGTTCTTGCTCGGAGAGGTCTACTTCTACAATGTCAATGGTCCGTCGTGGCAGAGGCACCAAGGGTTCTCCCTCGGGCGTTTTCATTGTCTTGGTCCGACGGAGAACCAAAGGCTCAAGGACTGTCTGCACGACATTGAGAGCTCGAACATAGTCCTTAGATTCAAAGGGTACGGTGATGAACGTCTTCCAGAACGAGAAGTTGTTCCAGGGCTCAACTTTCAGAAATCGCACCAAGCTAAAAAGGTCCTCAAGGCGATTCACAATAGGCGTCCCAGTGAGCACCCATCGATGTGTCGCTCTCAGCTCGTAACAGGCTCTTGCAGTCTTTGAGCGTCGATTCTTAATGACGTGGGCCTCATCGAGGATCACGCGGAAGAAGTCCACAGAAAACAAGCCACCTTGAGTACTAGAATTGAACATTGCGAGCTGACGGGATTCCGACAGTACGACGCCATAACTGGTAATTATAACGTTAGGCGCAGCGGGATTGCCAGCAGAACAGAGCTCTTGCAGATTGGCGGATTTGTCGGCACCATAATACATCAGCACCTTCATCGTTCCCGATTCCGAGGCCTTCATCGCCTCGCTTTCCCACTGGGACAGGAGAGAGGTTGGAGCCACGACAAGAGTCGTGTTTGGAGCAGGCAGAACGGCACTGGAAGAGCTAGGCATCCTCACTAGCTCAGGGGAAGAGCTTGAACCCTCCCGGCTCGGAGGCACATTTCGATGCGAGTGAATGAGACTCAGCATTTCAATGGTTTTGCCCAAGCCCATTTCGTCGGCCAGGATGCCACCCAAACAATGCTGTTCCTGTGCTGGAAAGTCAAGACTGAGCTCTCCCGAATACGGATTAACGTAGAAATGTGCCTGCCCCTCGACTACTGGCAAGTCTCTGTCATCAACGTCCTTCGTTGGCCAAGTGTATTCCTCCCACAGAGGGTGCATTGACAATTCTCTGCCAGACTTCTTATCTTTCTCTTTCGCCAGCATCCAGTGAAGTGCTTGCCTCTGATACTTTCGTAGGTTCAGCACAAAGCTTGACGGAGGTTGAGCCTCTGGCATGTTAAAATCGAAAGACTGCGCCTTCTTGTATAGAGCATCGAGCTGATCTTCTTCTAGCTCCGGGGATTCTTCATCTTCGGACGATTCGTTCGATTTGCCTTCTTTCTTGGTCTTGTCATATTGTTCTGCAATCTCTGCGGCACGGAGCAGCCCTTCCTTCTTGTGCTTCTTGGTCATGTCGTTAACAGTGGTCGGTTGCAGACCAATTTCATCAAAGAGCTTCACAAGCGCCACCTGACGAAGTCGAAGCTGTTTCTCTTCGGCACTTTCTTGCTCTTCGAATAATGCGGTCGACCGGTTGTCGTCGCTCATGTTCCAGAGATTCCGAGGCAGAAACGCCTCTTTACGCAGATAGCACCATAATTGCAGATATATTGTGTCGTTGACCCGGACCCTGTCAGGCACAAAAACGCAAGTACCTTCAAATTTGCAGATCTTTTGATCGATCAAGGTTGAAACCCATTCGGCTGTCTCTCGAGGTAATCTTCCAATTTCCTGGCCGGATTTGTTTGTGAATCGAGTCAGGACGTCCCCCTTCTGATTGGTAATGAGCTTGCCTCCTCGGCCACGCTTGGCTACCGGCTGAGACCTCGCCCGTTCAACATTGACATGCTCCCCATGTTTGAGTAGACCAACGCCGCTTCTAGTAGCCCAAGCTCCGACACCGAAAGCACCAATGTATCTCGAAGATTGCGGAAGGCTGCGGCGCGATGGGGCTTGGTTCGGTTCCTGTCTAATCGTTGTATCTAGTGTCTGGGCAATCGGTTCGTTGACTGTGGCGCGAGGAGTGGAGAGTGTTTGCCGGCCGGAGGCAACAGGAGCCTGACTTGGCAGACTGTTGTTCGTCGACTTCCATGATCCGTCGAAGTAGATGTTGACCGCTCGCTCCAGATCATCGCCAGAGGCTTTGCGAATTTTCTCCACTGATTCTGGGGAAAGATGTTCTCCAATGATGCTAGCGAATGTCGCAGTGTCGAATCCACCTGAATCCTGAAATCCTTGTGTTTCGGGAACTGTCCTCTCCCCACTTGCTTGTTCCCCGTATCCGTTTGTCAGACCTTCCTTAACTCGTTGATCTGGTTGAGCATGTATGGAAGTAAAGTCATCCAGGATGTCATGTTCAACGATTCCGTTTTCCTGTTCGTCGTCTTCCTTGGGCAAGTCATCTTTCTGATCTTCCGAGCTTAATCCTGGGCACTCTCCGCGAGAGCCCTCCAGGATCGGAAATGGATGGGCGCCGTTGAGCTGCTGCCGTTGAACATCACTTCCCTCTGGTCCAGCAGAGGAAGTCGTAGACGCGTCGAGATTCGTGGCAACCGGTGCAGCTCCGTTAGAAGACGGCTGGTGTCCGTCCTCTTCCTCAACGAAAAAGCGTCTTTTCTTTAAAGGACGTTCATTCAAATCCCCGAAATCCATTCTATAAGTCTGACCCCGAATTAGGTGGCCGAATTCGTGACAGGGGGATGTTGGGATCGAGCGGGAACGCTATCAAAATCAAATGCGCCGGGAGACGCGCCGAGCTGAGAGAGACGCGGTCGGCCGCTGCAGTTCGGGCCGACGTCATTCTTTAATTGATTCGGAACGAAAATTATGGGCGGCGTATATGGTCACATTGTCGTCGACACGATCAGCAATTCATCTGGATAAATTATTGCTTTTTCTAGGTATGTTGCGAGCTCAGTCTACTCCATCAATGAGATATTGCTCAGCTGACATTTTATCTAGAAAATCCAGAAATGTGCATGCCAGCAATCGTCTGAAGCAGAAACACCTTGGTTCGAAAAGCCTCATCTAACATGTCATTGCTAGAGGAAATTGCCCGTGCATGTCGTGCCAGTACACGATCATGTTGCATTTCCCAGATTAGAGTACAACCACAGCAACGAAGGCACCTCAGTCGATCAGCACCAGCCGCCAGTCCGGCCTCCGGCGCAGCTGAAGCAGAAGTCCAAGCTGCGCGAAAGTACTGCTCGGATCTCCTTTTGTACGAGAGTTCCTTTCTTCTTCCTCTAGGCGAATCAAAACTCATCTGCAACGTATAGGAAATATGACCGGCCGTCCTACACACTCAGCACGTTCATCCCGCAGAAATCGCAAACATTCTACCTTGCCCTACGGGCCCTCAATGTCACCCTCTCCATGATCCCCGAGACCACATCCTCCCACACAATCGGGTTAATGCGGCTGCAATTCTGGCGCGACGCCGTCACCAAGATCCTCGCCGGCTCACCACCTAAGGAACCCATCGCCATTCTCTTGGCGTCTGCAATATCAGACCTCAACGAGCGCACACAAGGCCGGGGCCGGGTCAGCAAAGCATGGCTGAACAAGATGATCAACGCTCGCGAGCAAACCCTCACAAACGACCCGTACCCCACCATCTCCGCGCTGGAAACGTACGCTGAAAACACCTACTCGACCCTGCTCTACCTGACTCTGTCCTCGCTACCCATGACGTCCATCACGGCCGACCACGTCGCATCGCACATTGGCAAAGCTGCCGGTATCGCCGCGGTCCTCCGCGGCCTGCCGCTGGTTGCATTCCCGCCTCCTCAGGCTCAGTCGCCCACGCAGGCTGCCTCAGGCACCTTCGGAGGAACTAAGCAAGGCGCAGTGATGCTGCCGCTGGACATCATGGCGCACGCGGGCGTGAAGGAGGAAGATGTCTTGCGGATGGGCGGTGAGGCACCGGGACTACGTGATGCCGTCTTCGCAGTTGCGACGCGTGCAAGCGATCATCTGATTACCGTGCAGCAGATGCTGAGCAATCTCCGCGCTGGTCAGGATGTAGGGCATGACTTTGAGCATGCGGGTGAGGAGGGACATGAGTACCTCGCGGAACAACGGGACGAGTCGCCCTTGAACGAGGTGAATCGGGCTTTTGGTGTTTTCATGCCTGCGGTGGGCACGCGACTGTGGCTGGATAGGTTGGAGAGTGTCGATTTTGATATCTTCCGGCCGGAGCTGCTTCGGTCTGACTGGAAGCTGCCCTGGAAGGCTTACTTGGCGTTTAACCGGAAGTCTTTCTGATGTGCGTGCTTCTCGTCGCGATGCCTTGTGTGTACAATATGTGTATGGCTATGAACAGAATATTATTTTCACTGTGTATATAGTCTCGTATGTACTATAAATTCTATACTCCCGTCAAGGACCAGGCCTAGGTCTCCATATATACGCCTATCCCAATTGCTGAATATAATCTCAAGCTCGTTTCATGGCTTTTCGCTCCCGTCTCTGCTTCCTCGAGCTGGTGATCAATCGTCGCTGGGCGAGCAGCACCGCGTAGCGCTGAATCTTGTCCCGCCTGTTGTCAAAGCATTAGCATTATTTCTGTCTCGGGGACGAAGGACATTTACATCAAGAAAATAGTCGTTGCGAAGACGAAAGGAACCGCGATCATCCAGAAGTAACTTTTAGCGGAGAAGTTAGTATGTCTTGAGATTGACCGAAATGAGTGAAACGTACGAATCGCTATGCCGGATTCCAGCGAACGACTCAAAGTTCATTCCAAAGTAGCCCTAACTTGCAGTTAGTACACAGTGACTTCTCTCAACCAGGTATGAGTTTTGACGAACAGTCAAGAATGTCAATGGCAGATAGAAGCATGTCACAAGTGTCAGCTGCTTCATGCTCTCGTTCTGATAGGCACCTGCACGCAGTTAGCACACGAAGCTCGGCTCGTCCTCGCCGGAACATTACCAATTGTGTTGAATATCAGATCAATCATGTTATCAGCAGCACGTCTCATTTGATCGTATGTCTCCACAATGGTTATGCAATGGTCCAGCGCATCCCCTAGGTACGTATGACACATGTGGCTGATGGAAACACTTGATCCACCCAAGCTCTTGAGATTGGGCGTGGCCACTCCCACCTGGGGCGGAGCGTCTGAGAAGTTGAAACCTGATAGTGAGAGTGGCGTTGCGGTGCCGAGTTGCTTGAGACCGAAGCCAGGGGTACTGACGGGCTCTGAGCGATGGTCACGGAGCGCGTTGATGACGGTCACAATCGGCTGCATGGAGCTTCTCAAAACAGCAATCTCGGATGTTAGTATATACAAGCTTTTGGATTGATCCACGTCGGGATCTGTGAGAACTTCCAGTTCCAGGTCACCGATCGCGTCTTGATAGGCACTCGTCACTGGAATAGCCAGGTCGATTATGGCGTCCAATACAGCCTGCAAGAGCATGCTGGCATCACAGGACTGACGCAAAATCGTCTCCGGTGAACTGAGGCGACGAACAATAGGCGCCTCAATGTCGTCGGCACTCGTCTCGAAGAAGGACGTGACCGTATTATCTGCATGCAAGAATAGCGAAACCTGTTCGAGCGTGACACTCAGACCCTTCGATGCTAGAACGGCGTGGCGTTCCATGAACGCGATCCTGTCCTCGTTGGGGCCTCCACGGAAGCGCTGAATGCTGCGCGCCGCGGGCCCTGGACTGGCAATGTCACCCAGATTGGACGAGGCTTTCGAAGAAGCTCTCCTCGACGCAGGGCGAACACTCACCCCACTAGCATATCTGTCGTCTGTCTCCTTCGCTGACCGAAATGTGAAAAGATCCTTCAATGCGGCCACAATGAGAGATCTTTTGGTTGGTCGCTTTAATGAATGGGTCTTGCTACTTGATGTCGAACTTCTGCGATCGCGTGCAAATGAGCTTCGCCCGTCTTCTTTTTCCTCTTCTGAGTCACTGCTAGACTCCTCCCTGAGCTTTACCAGTTTCTGCAAGGTAAGCACGATATAAGCATGATCCGAGTACCAGTCTGCCTTCGTACGGTTCGTCGTGTTGATCATGTCCTCAATTGCAAGTCTGTGGAGTCCCTTATGCTTTCCCAAAATCCTGATGACATCCCAGCTCAGTCCATTGACATTAATCCACCTGCATTGCACCCAGGGCTCCTTTTCTCGCTCGAGGAACGCTTCCAGCGTATCATTGTCCAGCTCGTACTGCCGCATTTCATGTTGCGAAAAGTCCACCACGATTATCTCGCACCTTCTGTGTAACTCAGCAGGTATATGAGGTGCCCAATCGGCGCCGTAGGCCGGAGGTGGTTTGTTCGGGTCAATGCCTGGTTCTGTTCCAGGGTGCCAATTGGGATCATGGGCAACGCTATCGGGATGATAAGAGCGGGCTGTGTTGGAGCGTCGCACGCGATGTTTGACCGTATCATGCGATGTGATTCGAGCCGCAGAAGTGAATGTTTCAGGCGAACGAGGAGGCGCTCCCTTGACGGGTGCGGAAGTGGGTGATGTCGGTGCGTTAGGTGCCCGCGGATTTGCCTCGATGTCTCCATCATCGAGAGCGCCAGGAGGCAGCTCAATTGTCCGCGCGTGATCGAGTGAGTGAATGCTCATGGTGATGGCCAATTATGATGACTGGTGTGCGAGATAGTGGCTATTCAAACTAAGAACATCCTTGTCGCATGAAGCTGGGCAAGCCTTGATCGAACAAAGTTGATTTAGCGAGTAATCGCGCAAAGGTATCGAAGTGAAGCGCACAAGCTAAGAAAATGACGTCGAAGATATTATGGAAATACCTTTCCGTCCCAAGTCAGAGCAATGAGAAACTGTGAGCACCTCATCAAGATGCAGGAGGGTCCATAGGGAGAGCTCATCGCGGGGATTTTGACTTTGTTCAATGCGCTTGATCTGCTGCTGTGGACGACGAGAGAAGAAGCTCTAGATGGAACTAAACAATTGCACAAGTAAGATAAAATATAAAGGACGCCGTGGATCGCGAGCTTCGATGAGGTGCTTGGTTTCGATAATAACGAAGTTGGCAATATCATTCAAGGTTCGTCCACGGATGCGGCGTGTTTAGGTGACAGACTTGGACACCTCTTGGCAACTGGCAAATGATTGTGCTGCATCAGCACATATCTAGTTAATGATTCTCACAGTAACGGAAGAAAAGAAAAATTCAGAGGGAAGGCCTGAGTTTTATAGTCACGATGCTTAACTAGTTTATTCCATATTCATCCAGAACAGGATGGGTATGTTAATAAGGTACGTCATCCTGAACATCGGAATGCCAATCCTTTCCTTAAGTTGATAGTTGATGATATTCATGGTCACTCTACGAGGATACACCATATGGAGCACTATTCGGGAGCAGACATGGAAGAGCTATCAAATTGACAGGTGCCAACTCTGCTCGGTCAACTGAGCACTCGGACTATTAAAGTTCTATTATGTCCAGTTGTCAGTAAGGCGATCATTAAGATGTCCTAGAGATGGAGATGATTCAAAATATGCCTGCTAAATGCTGTAATCGCTCATTCCTAATGCAATCAGGCCCGCTCAAAAACCACTAACGCCTATGCCGGTCCTTAAATGCTCGTGAATAACTTGAGCCTCCGTGATTGTTATGTGCTTTTCGTTGCCGCCTGGTTTCTCCGTTTTGTAACGAGTTTCAGTTGCAGGGGAACTAAATTCCTTCTGGGCGCTGGTGCATCTGTTCGTGCTAAAGGTTTGCGACAGACAGGACAAGTGCCCCGAGGGCCCTTCCCTGACGCATCTGACCGCTGCTCTTCGCTAAACTTCAGTGTATCCATTATGCATTTATGACAGAAGAGATGCCCTAAAACCGTCAATATGGGTCCCTTGTGTTACACGCCGGAGATACGTACCGCATACAGTGCTGGTGGCATCGACTGGGGTATCCATACACACAGGACATTTATAAGAAGTCAGAATGGAACGACCAGCTCCTTGATGTAAAGACTCTTGTGCCCTGACAGCATCTTCTCGCTGTTTTGCCAACGCTTTTGCAAGCGCAGCCGAGCCCTCCACTTCTGTCAAATCAATCTGTTCGATAGGCTCGACGTCTCTCTCGTGAGGTACCAGATTAGCTGTAGAGACAGAGGAAGCAGTTGAAGTGTCGGAATGGTCTGCTGATTCCGCAATGTCTGCTGTCTCAACATCGCTCACGCGGCGACGCTTTCGCGCATGCTGTTCTCGATCTGAAGGCTCGACTGAAAAAGAACTGATGGAAGGACTCCGACGAGCATGGGAAGGTGATATTTGATATGACGATCTTCGTGTGAATGAAAAGCTTTGGTCCATTTTTCGTAAAGTGACTCGATGATTGGCGGATCCTGCGGCGTACACAATAATACTCCGCAGCAGATGGGAGTTTTGTCAGCGAGCGATAAGCGCCTGAGATATGACGCGGGGTAGATTAGTACGAGCCCGATACTCCTCGTGAGTAAAGGCCATAGAGGAGTGGGAATCGTTAATGAGCCCTTATAATTTCTTCCCAAATCACAAGGAAAAAGCATCCGCAAGATGTGGTCTAGAGGCTTTGGAGGGGCAGTCAGTGGCGATGAACTGAACTGCCGCGGCTTATCGCATAATATCACCTGATGATAACGATAGAGCCATAAGGGCAGGCGGTGAATGTTTTACGGATCATCTCTAATTCCGAATTCCGAGATGCATGACGATAGGCTTTCCGCGATAGGAAAGTCTGGAATCTCCGGTAGGAGTGTTTATGAGCACCAGCTCGTCTTGAATACACATCCCACTAAACACACATATTTCTACGCAGCATTGGCTGCGCAACCCTTATTATCATGCCTTGGGGGTAATTTTGACCGAAATTTCATGATCTAGGATGCTTCTAAATAGCGCGATCACTCCCCGTTGCAGGGGTGTTCTACGTCCTTGCTCCCAGAGGTTTCGCTTGCCACATTTCACCCGGCAGCGACCTCTGCTGCTGCTGGTTAGGTCGTTCATTTCGGAGCCTTCACCGGAAAATGGTGAAGAAACGCCACGCCGTCGATCCCTTTCAGGTAATTCAATACTCATGCTGGCCGGCGCAAGTAGAAAAAAGAAAAAAAACATATACTAATCTTGCAGTCCCCGCGTTGCCTAGGTTCAATGAGATCGGAGTTCAACAGCTGAGCGACCATGTCTATTCCCAAATATTTCCAAATCAAGCAAGATCGCCAGATCCGGACCTAGTTGCGCTGTCGAAGGAACACCTTTCAAGACACGATCTGCTAGGAAAATCTCAGGATGCCGCGGAACCTATCGCGTTCGACATGCCAGCCCTGCAGGGACAAACCATGGACGAGCACTTCTTCAAACTGGGAATGGATGCATCCGAGCCCTACTTAACATATGCGAAAAGCTATACAGCTGTCAACTCGCCTCAAAAGCCGCGCAAATGGGTCAAGCGGAGCGGATGGACCAAATATAACTGTGACGGCTCTTGGGAGCCTGTGGATGCACCAAATGAGTCGATGCTTACCTTTGATACAGAGGTTATGTACAAAGAACACTCCTTTGCTGTTATGGCTTGCGCTGTGAGCCCTACAGCCTGGTACGCATGGCTTTCGCCCTGGCTGCTCGGAGAGTCCGAGAATGAAGTTCAACTCATACCTTTGGGGGATATAAAGCAACCGCGGATCGTCGTTGGACACAACATTGGGTATGATCGCGCGCGCGTTCTTGAGGAGTATGGAATGGAACAAACTCGCAACTTTTTCCTTGATACCATGTCACTTCATGTCGCCGTCAACGGGATGTGCTCGCAGCAGAGACCCACGTGGATGCGTCATAAGAAGAATAAGGATCTGAGAGACAAGATTGCAAATGAGAGAAACTCCGTCGAGCTGGCCGCTTTGCTCGAAAGCAAAATGCTGAGCGAAGAAGAGGAGGAATTGTGGGTAGGAAGGAGCTCTGTGAATTCGTTGCGCGACGTAGCCAAGTTTCATTGCGATGTTACAATCGACAAGTCGCAAAGAGACTATTTTGGCGAACTTGACAGACATCAGATCCTGGGAAAGCTGGAGGAATTGCTGGATTACTGTGCCGCAGACGTCGCCATCACCCATCGTGTGTACAAGAAGGTGTTTCCAAACTTCCTCGAGGTCTGTCCTCATCCGGTCAGCTTCGGAGCTCTCCGCCATCTTTGCTCAGTCATATTGCCTGTCAACCAAACATGGAAAGAGTATATTACCAACGCGGAAGCAACATATCATCGGCGACTTGACGATGTGCAACGGAAGCTAGTTGAACTGTGCGACGAAGCTCTCAAGGTCAAAGAGAGCCCGGATATCTACAAGAATGACCCTTGGTTGCGACAGCTGGACTGGTCTGGCCAAGAAATCAAAATGGTCAAGGGCAAGAAGAAGGGTGATCCTCCGCGACCCGCGGCCAGGCAGAAGAAACCAGGCATGCCACAATGGTACAAAGATCTCTATCCTACGAATACAGCGGACATTAACCTGACTGTGCGCACCCGGATTGCCCCTATATTATTGAAGCTGTCATGGGACGGTTATCCTCTGATATGGTCCGATAAATTCGGATGGACGTTCAAAGTCCCAAAAGACCAGGTCAAAAAATTCGAAAACCAGCCTGTGGTTCTCTGCGATATGAGTGAAGAGAAGAACCTGGAGTTGCGTGACGATAGGAAACACGCGTACTTCAAGCTCCCTCATAAGGATGGCCCACAAGCACGTTGCGTCAACCCCTTAGCCAAGGGCTATCTGCAATACTTTGAGCGGGGAACGCTTTCATCGCAATATGCACTCGCCAAAGAAGCTCTAGAAATGAACGCCTCCTGCTCATACTGGATCAGCGCCCGTGACAGAATCATGAGTCAGATAGTTGTCTACGAAGATCAAGTGAAGAAGTCCGGGTCTACAGGCGAAATGTCCAACCGACTAGGATTTATTCTTCCTCAGATCATACCTATGGGCACAATCACCCGGCGAGCAGTGGAAAATACTTGGCTAACAGCCAGTAACGCCAAGGCAAACCGCGTTGGTTCTGAACTCAAGGCTATGATCAAAGCTCCGCCAGGCTATGTCTTCGTTGGTGCAGATGTTGACTCCCAGGAATTGTGGATTGCCAGTCTTGTCGGGGACGCTCAATTCCAACTACACGGGGGCAATGCCATTGGATTCATGACTTTAGAAGGTTCCAAGGCTGCTGGGACTGATATGCATTCGCGCACAGCCCAGATCTTGGGTATTTCGCGTAATGACGCCAAGGTTTTTAACTATGGGCGTATTTACGGTGCTGGGGTTAAGTTCGCTGCCACACTGCTTCGCCAGTTCAATCCGTCCATGTCTGAGAAGGAGACCCAAGAAGTTGCAACCAATCTCTACAAAGAGACCAAGGGCACCCGCACAACTCGTCGCATTCTGAGTGAGAACCCTTTCTGGCGCGGAGGCACTGAATCCTTTGTCTTCAACAAACTGGAGGAATTCGCTGAGCAAGAAAGACCGCGTACGCCTGCCCTCGGCGCTGGGATTACTGAGGCACTCATGCGGCGCTTCATCAACAAGGGCAGTTTCATGACTTCGCGAATTAACTGGGCAATCCAGTCATCTGGAGTTGATTATCTCCACCTTTTGATCGTATCCATGGATTATCTTATCCGACGATTTAACATAGGTGCTCGTCTCGCAATCACTGTCCACGACGAAATTCGGTATCTTGTCAAGGAAGAGGACAAGTATCGAGCTGCTATGGCCCTACAGGTCGCCAATGTTTGGACTCGCGCCATGTTTTCGCAACAAGTTGGGATCGACGATCTTCCTCAATCTTGTGCCTACTTTTCGGCGGTCGATATCGATCACGTTCTGCGTAAAGAGGTGGACATGGACTGCGTAACTCCCTCTCATCCGCACAAGATTCCACACGGAGAAAGCTTGGACATTAGTCGACTATTGGACAAGGACCAAGAAGCATATCTGGATCCTTCAGTAGTCCCTGTTTCGCCTCCTTCGCCTCAGAAGTACACTTACACACCACGAGAGTCTGTGATGTCGTCGCTTCAAGCCACCAATCATCCTGCTTTCATCAAAGCTCAGATTAGCAAAGACGACAAAGAGCTTCGAGAAATCATCAAGGAGGTGACGAAGGCCAAGTCTGCCACCTCTTCAAGCGCACGCTCTGTGCGAAATAGTGCCAAATCGACCAACTTCCCTTCAGCGGAGCCTCAGAAAGCGGTCTTGATGGACATTGATTCTGGACTCTACCGCGACTTCCGATATCTACCACAGGGGAGCAGCAGGCATCCCCATTTCAACTTGAACCGTCAGACATGGAAACCCAGGCCGGCTGCCCGGCCTTAGTCTGAGAATCCGTCCTTCTCTTTCCTTCCATTTCCCACGCCCCTGTATTTCTTTCCATGCATTAATTATGTACCCTTCTCTATTATGTTTTATCATCTGATGAGTGTTCTATCAAAGCATTGGTATGGCGTTGCATTCGCTGGTCGGGATGGTACGGTTGGGGTTCCTGTATTCTATTCCGAGGGGGACTGGACTGTTACTTCTGTGATATATAACGATCATGATCCTATATGGTGTAAATACTCCTCTTCAATGCTACCAATCCGAATGGTATTTGAAGTTGAAACCTGATCATTATAATATTTTGCTTTCTATCTATGACTTTTATTCTGCCCTTCTTCTCCCCGGATCTAATGTATTTCTCCTACTCAACCCATCTCCGCGAAGCATCGCGTCTCCTTTACGACCCAGCACCACCTCCAGCGCCTGCACAAGGGCAGTAGGATCATACTTCATCCCCACGGCAACCTCCTCCCCGTCCGGCCCAGGCGCCGTGATCTTCCGACCATATAAACGGAGCGTCTCGATGCCCATTTCCGCCAGGCGCTCGCGGTCGACCTGGGGCGTTCCTGGCCCATCTAGATGCAGCATATGCGTGATGTAGGAGGTATACGGGGGAGAGGGCAAGTGAGCGGGCCGGCCACGACTTTCCTCTCCTGCGCGGGTGATTGCTTCGACGAAATCGACCGCCGTGAAGGGCTGCGAGGGCGGGCCAGTTTCCCTGTCCAGGGAGCCGTTGAGGATGAGGATCTTGTGTCGGGCGGGGCTGGTGGCGATGGCTTGGCCGACGCCGCGGAGGATGAGGGAGGGGATGAGGGATGTGTAGAGGGAGCCGATGCTGTAGATGATGGCCTGGGCGTCGCGGAGGGAGTCGAGGACGCGCGGGTTGGCCGGGGGCCGGATCTCCTGGCCGTACGGGTTTATGTACCAGATGCGGGTGATGCGGGCGGGGAGGTCCTCGTTGTCCGATTTGCTGAACTGGATGTTTTTGTTGCGGAGGGTGGGGAGGGAGCCCGGGAGGTGGTCGTCCTCGTAGGAGACGGCGTCCGAGGCGTCGGAGGGTTCTGTGTCCTCGAGGTCGGAGGCGCCGTCGGCGAGGAGGAGGCTGGGCCGTCTGGAGCCCGGCCTGGGCTGGAGGGCGGTTGCCTCGCTTGGGTGGGAGATGCTGTTCTGGCCGACGATGACGGTCCCGTCCGCGAGGGAGGCGGAGATGTGGTGGGAGAAGTTGGAGTTGATGGCTGGGATGACGCGGACCAGGTCGGATTGGACGCCGCAAATGCTTCCTAGGAGGTAGATGGCGCTCTCGAAGCTGCCGCTGAACAGTCGTGCGCCTGTGAGGAAGAGATTGCCTACGCTGGCCGCGGTGAAGTCAAAGGTCGAAGAGGGCGGTCGGGCACGCTTCAGGATCTCCAGGTTCAGCAAATTGAAGAACGAGCGTATCAACTCTTTCTTGGCGGGCGTGATGGTTTTCCAGAGGTCGGAAGTACCGTCCACGATTGACTGCCATGCTCCGTGGGCCGCGACAGGGTCCGCAGGGAGCCGGTGGTTGAACAGGGTCTTGATCGCTGCCCGTTCGGAATTTGGAGGCGAGTCCGGGATCAGACGGACCAGTCTACCTGGATGCACTGTTAGCAACAGGGACTGGATATCATCTTTCTTGAGGGAGGGATGAGTCCTACTTCTCACATCACCGATGCCAGGACCGCCAAATATTCGGATCAGCTCAGAGGAAGAACCCCCATTGTCGCTGATGGGGATGATGTAGCTCAACAAGCATTCCTTACTCTCCCGCAAACTGCTGAAGACATCGACGAGATTGTTGGCAGCGCTTCCTCCCGAGAAGACCACGATACCCCGGTTGGGAAGGGCTGCGTTTGACATATTGACTTGCCGTATATGTCAAAGAACACCGCTGACAAAGGGAGTCCTGAGAAATGTTGGAGTCAAAATGAGCTCTCAAGAGGCTGAGGCCATGACACTCTGGTGAAATATCTGTTGCGAATGTATAGATAGGAGGCGTAGCTATTTTTAAACTCCGTCCAAGTCGCGATGCCACTTGCCTTATTGGGGAAATTAAGCAGCAAGTCAGGTTGCGTGTGGTTTTACCCTTTTGGGAAGAAATGAAGCCAAGCCTTTTTTGACAATATCTCCAAGCAGACTGACAGTGGGTATACCTTAAAGGTACAAAATGAGGATGGAACACGCTGTCTTGAACGAGGATCTTGAAATGTTCCTGAGTGACGGAAGTGAGAAAAAGTGGCCACTACGAGTACGGGACTCGCAAAGTGTGGCTCAATTAATGCGGGCATCACACAACCAAGTTGCAACAAGTTGAACAGGAACAGTCCCCAAACTTTTACATTCACAGGCCCAGAACCATACATTGGCAATAGCTCTAGGCTCGCGATCTATTGGTGATGATCCTATTTTACCTATGTACACATCTTCCTCGCCGGCTTCCAGCAAGCCTGGAAAGCGTTGTACTTATTTACTACAATTTCATCAATCATGGTAATAGAATATCCACACAGAAAGGCTACGAAGAACAAGAGAAGGGGTCTTGTGGACGAAATATAAACAATATATACTGGAAGAATTGGCTTTGCTACCCATTCGAGTACCTATGCATATGCGGCCCAGCCTGGAAATAACGTTAGCCTTCGACATCGTCGTCCAGAAATTCTAATGACATACCGCAATAGAGAACAGCAAGGTTCCTCTCATCAGTTGCCTGCTGAATCAGTTCGTTGACAGTGGCTGTGACACTGAGAGTCTTGCTCAACTTCTTTGCCACAACCGTCAGAGCGCGATCCGCTTCACTGGGTTCATTCGCTGATCGTTGATCTTCCGCGGCACCTGATATCATGGGGGGACCATCGCCAGCTTCTTGAGCATCTTGCATCCTCTTCATCCGTAGCGGAGAGACAGTCCAGCTGTACAGAGGGTCATACCGAAGCACATCAAGAATCGTCATGATGCTGTACGATTCCTGTCGGAGTGCCTCGAGAGTGAACTCGCAGCATCGCCGGAACACACCCTCTGTCTTCGTGATGCCCATACCGTCGACGAGATCGCGTGTTAGTCGGAAAGGAACTACCTCAGGCACTGGCAGGACTCGGCCTTGCTCGAAGGCCACTCCCAAATCGATATGAACGACCTCTCCGGTCCTCTCGTCCAACAAGATATTATGCCCATGCCGATCGCCAAGCCCAAGCACATGCCCCAGAATGGAAATCGCCGCAGTGCTCCGAGTATATGAAAGCCTCTTACTGAACCAATCATCCGGATTGTTGAACTTCTCCATGAAGAAGTACCGCATGACCGGATGGAAATGTTCAGTAATCTGGCGGAATGTCTTGACTCGTTGCTCAAAAGAGCGTGTCTGCACGTCGCTGATATGTTTTCGGCAGACATTTGGCTTCATATCCTTGGGGAAATACCGCTGATGCGCCGGCATCAAGTAGTCATGCAGCGGGATGGTGCGCGGCACAAACTCAATGATTCCCGCATTCGAAGTCAGAGGAAGGACCTTGTATGTACGAATTCCCAGCTTCCGCTGCTGTGTCGCCTGGTGGTCCTTGAGAAGACTGCTCACTTGCTCGAATACTTGTTCCATGATAGCGTCCTGTCGCAGGTCATCATTGCCTCCTTTGAACTGTGATATGATCGTCAGCTTCGCGATTCAATGTAAGAGAACGGTGAATTGCAAGCCTTACTAGTTGCTTATACTTGTGACCATCCGTTGCTACGGCGGTGACAATCTTCGGTGCGCTCACCCCAGATGCAACCGTGAATTCAGGATGATATCGAACAAGCTTAGGAACATCGCTGTAGTCGCAATCAACACGAATGCCAATCTTCATCGTAGGTGGCGGTAGCCTTTGTGTCGAAGCGTCCTGCTCTAGGCGTTGGCCCGTCAGGAGTTTCTTCAGTGGCACCTTCGCACCACTCTTTAACTTCTCATCCAGCCGCTCGATTGCGAATCGCACGTAATTGATATTCGTGTTGTGCACTGCAACCCATGTTGGTCCAATCCGTTTGTCGTTCTTCAGGTAATCTACCAGCCTGCTTGCCGCTCGATTACGAGACAAAGCTGACGGGTCCTTTCCACCCTTGGACTTGCTGCTGGCGAATATTTGATACATGCCATGGAATGGATGCTCGAGGCAAATGCGAAAAATCAATGCAAAGAGCATATTCTGAAACTCGTCAGACGTATCTAGGAGGCGGGAAGTAAGTTGATTCATCAGTGGCGCGAATTTCCGACTCGGGACCTGGTTGAGATACTTGGAGACAGCTTTGTTTGCAATCTCACTGTCCGATTTGTCAAGCCACAAGGCACAGAAACGTAGTGCATCGTTGTTATAATTGTCGCTCTCTTTGAGACAAAGCAAATAGTTTTCGAGGCATTGCTGCAAGAAGGCCTCTCGACTGCGTCGCAGACGTTGATATTCTCGATCGTCTAGATCAAACCACTGCTTTGTCTTGGTTCGGTAGTGCCTCAGAGCCTCCCTTTCTTTGCCCTCTGCATTCTTCATCATGTCTTCAAGACCCAGTACTTCCTTTTCCTTGCGATTACGTAGTTGCTCGACCCGTTTGAAGTCCTCCAGTCCGTCAGGATTCTGTAGTTGCTGGTCGCAGAACATGGCGAAGCCGTGATATACTCTGCCGGCCTCTTCGGCCCCCGAGCGGTTCTTAAGTTCCTTAACTGCAGGGGCAAGGTACCCCTGAATGATAGCTTCTGGCTTCTCCAAGCGTGCTTCCGCCACATGATGGCCCTGGAAATGATTAGAAACATACAACACAATCAAGCAAAGGTGTTTCCACTCACAAGGGTCACAAGAAGCTCCGGGCGGCTGATTGGAATTGCCTGCTTGTGTAGATCATTTTGATCGTCCAGCTGTTGAAGCATCCGAATCGACGCTGCCATCTCCCCTTGGTCCCATAGGACGTTGGCCAAATCGAATTTTGTTGCTCCTTCGACATTGATTCCCTGCACC